CTGAAGAGCTGAGGGACAGCGCCCAGGCCCAGAGTTCAGGCCCCATGACTGGACCAAAAAAAAAAAACAGAACTCTTGTGTGTTTATGTGGGCATATATGTGGAGATAGACTGGGATATTGGCCCCATCTCCGCCATAACCTTAACTCCCCAAAGTCCTGAGAGTCAAGACTCTGTCTGGTATGAGAGCACTACTAGAGGCTGGGAGACTCTAACCATGACCAAGCCAGATGCCAGGTGAGTGGTCCACAGACCCCAACCATGGCAGTACCAGAAACAGAACCCCCTTACCTCTACAGTGTTGGGGGAGGAAGGGTAGGTCCTGAGCACATCTGCTCCCCTTACCCCTGCAATTTCAACATGGATTGATCCCCACAAGGCAGAAAGACAGACAAACAGAGATAGACACACCTTCAAAGGAATTGGTTGTTGGTCTGTTGGGATGCCATGATTTTATCTGAGTGGTGGAAGAGCAATTGGGCCCTGAGAAAAGTCTCAAGTGGTGCCTGCTCTATTGAGTCTCCAGTCCTCCAGCTGCCTGGACAGGCCAGGCCATCTGCTAGTGTGGCTTTAAGGAACCCAAGTACCCCTCTTGGCACTGGGATCATGTTTGTAGAATCCAGGATGAGCCCCCATTTTAATGTTGTGAGATCCACTTAATGTTGTAAGGTAAATCCAGTTAGTGAGATACAGAGAAACCACCTTTTGAGAGATGGAATCTTTATTAAAGATGGAGACTTACAGGTGGACCCATTGCAACAATGAGATGTACAAGTCCTTATGTCGAAAAATGAACTTTACAACTTTAGCGGGGGACGGGGGGAGGGAAGTGGGAGATGAGAAGGGATGGGAAACAAAGGAGGAGGCAACAATGCTTGATGAGAAATGTACTCATTATCTTGCCCATGTAATTGTAACCCCTCTATACAGTATTTTCACAATAAAAAAATAATAAAGATGGAGACTTTATTAAAAGGCAGGCTTCTGTAAGGTGGACTCCTGTCTCAATGACCAGCAGCTTGCACTAAGCTTTCAAGGACAAAAGCCACATGTTTTGGGTAGCGACCAAGCCCCAGCATAAGGAGCAGGGGGTTCATCAACATGATATCTACATATCCTCTGTGGGGCTAAATAACAGGCGCATCTACAATTCAAAGGATGGCTAGTGTCACCTCTGGGCATTTCAGTGCTAGCTGGAGAGCAGGCACCAGGATGTCTGTGAGAGCAGGTGACATTACTGAGACTCAGTCTCCCTACTTTATAACAAATAATTTAGAAGAAACATCTTTAATTCTCAATAGTAGCCTAGTACTTGGCAAATATCTATCAGTTTATCTGTGTTGTTTTAAAATGTGAAAGAACCATGCATTATTGAAATCATTCTTGGGAGAGCCAGGGAATGCCTAGACTTATTTAGGCTTCTCTTTCTGATTTTTGTCCTCCTAGTGGGTTCATCTCTAACCTTAGCACTATAGAGGTTGGTGAGATTCTGATGGCTCCTTAATAGAAAGGACAGTCTATTATTTCTTAAATCGTGTCGTCTCCTTTCTTTCTAGGGAGTGAATGCCATCATGAGAAGGTATGTGTGGGATACAAGAGTGCTTTGTTTGGTAGGACAAGATTTATAGAATGATCTACAGTACTCAAATTATAGTATAACATCTCCTAGACCAGGGAAATGTACTTGTAGTATTGTCTTCGGTTCTGGACAAAAATCAGTTCTGGTTTGGGCGCATTAGGACTATTGAGAATAAATTAGATCCTCTGGTAAGGAGTGGAAGTCATGAAAAGTTAGAATGTGGGTCAGGAGTGATATTTATTCACCCCATGTACCTATATCAGCTCTGGTCCTGGATCTCAGAGGTGTTTCATTTATTTTAAATACAATATATCTTCCTTGTCTTCCTTGTGCCCAGAATTGTCCACTGATAAACTTCCTATGTGTTTCTATGTTTCTCCTGAAAACAAGTGACCAGTTGCATGTATGTTTTCAAAAACAGTCACCTTGACCTGTGAGAACAGGGTTTTAGCTCTGATGCAAATGGTCCATGTGCCTCACAGACTTTGGAAGAGTGAGGGAAGGAGGCATCCCTGTGTCTAAGGATGCACAACCACCTGGCAGCCTCATTCACCATCTCTCCTCACCTGGGAATTTCAGAGCAGCATTACTTTGGTGTTCATAAAGCCTCCTTTTCCAAATGTATTTAATTTCCCTCAGAGAACCTGAAAGCTGAGCTCTCTCAGAGCCTCTGTAATGGGTTACAGGCTTTGAAGATTTTGGGTTTCTCCAGATGTGATTTGCACATTTTCTATACCTTGAACATCCGGAAGCAGCCTGGTTCTGCCAACTTACTTTCTGACTATTTTCCTGAGAACCAAGATTTGTGGTAGTGTCTTATCTATGTATGTATGTATTTGTTTATTATTTTTGTTATCTTTAAGTAGTTGTACAAAGACGTTGTACAAAGTAGATGAGTACAAAGTATCTGAAAACATTGTCACCCATCTCTCTTAACCCATCCCTTTCTATGTATTGTTTTCTCCTAGATACCAGTTTGTTGTGCTTTAAAACCCATGAGTTTAGCACTGTGGCTCAAGTGGTAGAGCACTTGCCTTGAGCTGAAGAGCTCAGGTAACAGCGCCCAGGCTCAGAGTTCAAGCCTCACCGACAAAAAAATTTAAAAAAATAAAATAAAATGAAACCCATGAGTTCATTTCTCTTGAACTTTAAGAGTTTGAGAGGGAGAATCTGTTTCATTTTAGACAGGAGAATCTACTTCAGAAAGTTTAATGTCTTGCCCAATTCACACAGAGTGAGGAGGAAGGTTGACATGAGTGTATTTATTATGACTTCAGCAGTAGTCTATCCTTTCTTTTCTCAGGACTCCAAAGTAGGTACATATAATGGTCAGTAGGGGAAAACAATAGGTAGTTTGGTGGTGATGAAGTCTGAGGTATAGAGGTTCATTCTTCTCATCCCTAGATGTGAACTCTTGATAATGAAGAAGCCAATACCTTTCCCCAAGAAAGAACAGACAGTGTTCCCAATAACTGGTCTGAGAGGAGTGCTGCAAGCGTTTCAAGGTGAGGAGAGCTGGGTTAGGGTATGGTTGTAGGGATCTAGCTGTGGTGGGGGCCGGGGTAGTTTCTAGATGCGGCTTCTAAATGTGAAGGGTGGACACTGTGGTGATATCATCTCTGTTGTCATTTCAGAGCTGACTGATGCCCACCAATACTGGGGTAAGAAGAAACCAAAGTTTCTTGTCATCTTTCAGAATTAGTATTGTTACGATGTCTTACGTTTTTAGACTTAGTTTTTCTACACACAAAGAGAAATGATGCTTTTGCAGTGTCCTACCTTGTCTTATTTCCTTATGATTTCAAAGTTCATGATTATCTCATGATTACCAGTTCTCTGTCACATTCTTACTATGATTTTGCTCGATATGTCACCAAAAAGTTCTGTCTCTTACCCAAATCTGTCATTTTTTTCCCCCTACAGTTCCCGTGATGGTGACTAGAAATGAGGATTCCAGATTTGTCATTTCTCAGGATCAGAGACAGATAAAATACCAGGATATTCCAGTCTATTCCAATGCACCAACCTTGTTTTCACGTAATACCCATTCTTTTATGAATTTTCATAGCGAACCTTTTACATTTGGTTCACTTAACTCTAATATACCAAAAAATAATATATCTCTTCCAGGGGCCCTGGGTGCCCCTGTAATCATATCGGGAAAACACTACTGGGAGGTAGATGTGTCTAAGAAAACATCCTGGCGCTTGGGGTTAAGTGATGGAAGACACTTCAGAGGGCTAAGTCATGATCCTACTGTTTATGGAGTTCCTCGGCCTAAAACTGGTTACTGGATTATAGGGATGGAGGATAAATCTGGGTATAAAGTTTTTGGGGAGGATCCTACCACCCATTCTCCTTTGTCCTTGCCCCTGTCTTTGCCTGTCGCTCTTGAACGTGTTGGGGTTTTTGTAGACTACCAGGCTGGCTCAGTCTCATTTTACAGCACTACATACAATGCATTTCTCATCTACAAGTTCACTAACTGTGCCTTTCCCCGTGAAGTCTATCCATATTTTAATCCTTTACAATGTCCAGAACCCATGATTCTATGCTGATCCAGCTCTTAAGCCTTTTTACCCTCTTTGACACTTCTGCTCACTGTCCCTGGCCCTGGTGTGCGTTTCATGCATCTGATCCTCTGTGCTCCTTGAAACATCATTTCCTCCTTATTTGCGTCTTTCTGATTCAATGTTCTTTACTCATAACTAGGATGTACACCTTTCCTTGGGCCATATTCTTCCTGTTAATGTGTTTGTTTGGAAGACAGTCCTCTGTCATGGAGAGAAGATGTAGAATTGTTTCAACAAGGTGTCTGTGCTATTAAAAGTTAAAGGATTCCTTAGCTAAAGAAGTGATCCTCTGGGGCTGGGAAGGTGGTTCAGTGGTAGAGTGCTTGCCTTGCATGTATGAGCCCCTGGGTTCAATTCCTCAGCACCACATAAGCAGAAAAAGCCGGAAGTGGTGCTGTGGCTCATGTGGTAGAGCAATAGCCTTGAGCTGAAGAGCTGTGGGACAGCACCCAGGCCAAGTTCAGGCCCTACGACTGAAAAAAAAAAAAAAAGAAGTGATCCTTAGCAGTGTCTTAGCTCTACTGTCAGCCACTAGCTATTGATCAAGGAGTTAAGGAGAAAAATGCCAAATGATCTAGTCAAAGAGGCAGATTCTTTGTATATTGTGTTTTAAATTTATGTCCCTTCTCTTCATATATTTGCAATGTGAACATGAGTAAAATCCTGAAATGCCTGTGCTTATTTTCTTGCAAGTTGCAGATAAACATACTTTTGATAAGTGTAACAAAGTGAGTTATGATTAAACATCTATTGAAGTCTCAATAAATACCTGTTCTATTCATTAATGAAAACCGTGAGTATTCAGTGTCCATTAAATGGGTGTGCTAGTTGGGCACCGGTGGCTCACATCTGTAATCCTAGCTACCCAGGAGGCTGAGATCTGAGGATCACAGTTCAAGGCCAGCCCAGGCAGAAATGTCCATGAGACTCTTATTTCCAATAAACTACTAGAAAACCGGAAGTGGTGCTGTGGCTGAAGCAGTAGAGCACTCGCCTTGAGCTGAAGTGTGCAGGGACAGCGCCCAAGCTGAGTTCAAGCCCCATGACCAACAAAAAAAAATCCAAAAAACAAACCACCACCACCACCAACAAAAAAACAGGTGTGCAAAGTTAGAATGTGGAAATGACTTTACTCAAGTATCCTATTTAAGTACTCTGGAAGACAAAGCCTCCTCCACCATGGAGAAAAGACAATGTATAATGTGGTGATCTCCAATGTCCTAAAGAGTTTTAGGCTGGGAATGTGGCTTAGTGGTTGAGTGCTTGCCTTGCATGCATGAAGCCCTGGGTTCAATTCCTCAGTACCACATAAACGAAAAAGCTGGAAGTGGTGCTGTGGCTCACATGGTGGAGTGCTAGCCTTGAGTAAAAGAAGCTCAGGGATAGTGCCCAGGCCCTGAGTCCAAGCCCCAGGACTGGCAAAAAAAAAAAAAAAGTTTTAGTTGGACTAAGTTAGGTCTAAGTTACTGACCTCTAGTGGGTAAATGCCAGGAATTCTGCAGTACATTCTACAAGGCATAGGATAACTTGCTGTAGTGTTATTCAGTTCAAGGTGTCAGAAATGCTGAGTTTGAAAAACCCTGTTTAATACTTTTTGCTTTCAGGGTCAGTGAAATACCCAGTGTCTCCACTCCTACTATTTTCATAGTTGTGCAATGACACCAATTTGAATAATCTCTTTGGGTCTCCACAGACACAGTATTCTACCTCCTAGAAGACAGGAGGGGGTAGAGGAGGGGCAGAGGAGCAGTGATGGGGAATGGCTTATGCAGGACCCATGGAGCTCTTTGGATGGTGGAAATGTTCTTATTTTATTTTTTTGTTAGTCTGACCTCTGGACCTGGGTGCTGTCTCTCAGCTCTTCAGCTCAAGGCTAGCACTCTACCACTTAAGCCACAGTGCCACTTCCAGCCTTTTCTGCTATGGTGCTGAGGAACTGAACACAGGGCCTCATGCATGCAAGGCAAGCACTCTACCACTGATCCACCTTTCCAGCCCCATGCTCTATTTTTGTTGTACTAGTTACACAGTATAAAACTTGTTAAAACTCGTTAGTTTGTGCATTCTAAGTGTTGCACTTTATTGCATGTAACATCTACCTCAATAGCACTGAATATAAAAGAAAATTAAGTTTTCTAGATGACTTTTTTTTTTTGCCAGTCCTGGGGCTTGAACTCAGGGCCTGGGCACTGTCTGTGAGCTTTGCTCAAGACTAGCATTCTACCACTTGAGCCACTGCATTACTTCCAACTTTTTCTGTGTATGTGGTTCTGAAGAATTGAACCCAGGACTTCATGCACATGAGGCAAGCACGCTACCACTGAGCCACACTCCCAGCCCTCACTTAACTTTTTCACTCAAGGATGGTTGTCTACTACATGAGCCACAGCTTCAATATTTTTGGTGGTTAAGGGACCTTTCTATCCTGACTACCTTTGGACTTTGGCCATCAGATCTGTCTCCCAAGTAGCCAGGATTATAGGCTATTGGTGCCAGGCAAAACTGGAGTTACTTGAGACCTCACCTGAAGTGGAAGAACCTGGAACAGGAGATTCCCCATCAGAGTCCCTTTCCTTCTTGGGTATAGAACAATCCTATCACTTTCCTTCTTAAAGATCATGCTGTTCTATGAAAGCAAACTGATAGATTCATTTGTTCCCCCATGCTATATTCAAGAAAATCTGGTAGGAATAGGTCAGTGGTAGAATGCTTGCCTAACCAAAAACACCATGTGTTGGGTATCCATGCCATAAAAACAAATTACAGTCCTACCTCCTTTAGAAGTCACAATGTAAAAAAAAAGTCCACCTTTGGAAAATATTTGTCAAGGCATAATTGGCCCTTCTTTCCATTACTGATCCATGCTTGGAGAACTAAGAGCAAAACCTAGTCAGGAGGACACGTTCAATTTTGCCTGAAGATTCACAACTATCCAATAAAAATTGGATAGTTGGGCATGTGCTTTGGCTACATATTAAGGTAAGTCCTGGGGCTTGAATTCAGGGTCCAGGCACTGTCCCTGAGCTTCTTTTGCTACCACTTGAGCCACAACACCACTTCAGGCTTTTCCTGTTTCTGTGGTACTGAGGAATTGAACCCAGGGCTTCATGCATGCATGCTAGGCAAGCACTCTACCTCTAAGCCACATTCCCAGCCCCAAGGTAGCTAATTATTACTTTCTCATTCTGGTTTCCTCTACTTAGTTCCATGATAGTAATTCTTATCCCTCAACAGGCAATATTAGTTGAGATGTATTTATTAACTTAGTCCATTCATTCTCTGTGTGTAGTGGCCAAGTTTTTATCATTGAAGTTGAATGTTGGTGGGTCACACTAATAATCCTAACTACTCAGGAGGCTGAGATTTGAGGATTAGTTTGAAGACAGCTTGGGCAGGAAAGTCTGAGACTCTTATCTCCAATTAACTACCAAAAAGCCAGGAATGGTGCAGTGACTCAAAGTAGCAGACCAGTATTAGTCTTGAGCACACAAGCTCAGGGATAATGCCTAGACACTAAATTTAAGCCTGAGGACTAACACCAAAGACAGACAAGGCTGGGAATGTGGCTTAGTAGTGGAGTGCCTGCCTAGCATTCATGAAGCTCTGGGTTTGATTTCTCAGTATCACAGAAACAGAAAAAGCTGGAGGTGGTGCTGTGGCTCAAGTTGTACAAGTGGTAGAGTACTAGCCTTGAGCAAAAGCAGCTCAGGGACAGTGCCCAGGCCCTGAGTTCAAGCACCAAGAATCAATCAAACAAACAAAAAACAAAAAGGAAGATGAAACAGGTGAAATCAGCAATAAATTTTATTTCACTCAATATAGCCAGGGCATTATCATTGCCATATGCAAAAGCTGTTAGTGAGGTATTCTACGGTTTTGTGGAAATCCAGTGTGAACTTTGTTCTTTTAGTGCACCTCCTTTCAGTCACAAAACAGTAATCAACAGCTTCCATTTCCCCTCACATCTACTCAACAGTTTGTTTTTTAGAGTTGGCTCAGAAAGCACATAGCACCTCTCAACCAAAGTCAGAGGGAACTCATTCACTGCTATTGACATTTGGGCAGAAAGGGAATGGGTGTCAACAGGCATGATGGGGCTTCTGTGATTTCAACTACTTAGGAAGTAGAGATTGGAAGGTTGGAGCTTCAAGGACAAGCCGGTAGAGAAAAGTTGACAAGCTGGCGCTGGTAACTTACATGTAATTCTAGTTACTCAGAAGGCTGAGAGCTTAAGATCAAGATGTGAAGCTAGCTGGTACTACAGTTCTGACTCTTCCACTAACTACACCAAAAGGTTGGAAACGGACCTTTACTCAATTAATAGAGTGACTCAGGTAGTATGATACCAGCCTTGAGTAAAAAAGACAAGCAAGAGTGCGAGGCCCTGAGTTCAAACCCTAGTTTTTCCATAAAAGGGAAAGAAGGAAAACTTAGTAAGATCAGGTGTTGTCCAATAAACTGGATGCAAGAGTTTCAGGTTTGTAATCTCAGCTAATCACAAGGCCATAAGTAAGTAGAAGGATCCTGGTCTCTAAAATGTTTAAGACTCTATTCAAAAAAATAATTAAAGAACAAAAAAAGGGGTCAGGATATGGTTCAAGCCCAGAGTTCAAACCCCAGTCCCAGTGACAAACAACAACACGAAAAAAAAAAAAGGTGTGATAGGAGAGGGAAAGTAGTGGTAAGGTGATGTATGCCTGTAATCTCAGCTATTTGAAAGGTTGAAACAAGAGCATATGAAATTTGAGCTGGGAAGGTGGCTCAGTGGTAGAGTACTTGCCTTACATACATGAGGCCCTGGGTTCGATTCTGCAGCACCACATTAGCAGAAAAAGCCAGAAGCGGTGCTATGGCTCAAGTGCTAGCACACTAGCCTTGAGCTGAGGGACAGCACCCAGGCCCAGAGTTCAGCCCCATGACCCACCAAAAAAAAAAAAAAAAAGAAAAGAAAAAACGAAATTTGAGGCATGCCTGGACTAAATTCAAGGCCAGTGTGAAAAACTTAGTGAAGACCTGTATCAGGAGCTGGAAGACAATGGGTCAGGTATGCAATCCTTGGCACTCTGGATGCTGGGATCCAGGGCATCGTGTCTAGAAGCGATGCCAGACAGAAAAGTCTGAAACTCTATCTCCAACTAACTAACTAGCCAAAAGCTAGGCTAGAGGTGTGGTATTATGCCATCCATAGCAAGCAAGACTAAGTCCTAGCACCTGAATTCAAGCTCTAGAACCAGCACAAAGAAGAAAGGGCTGGTTGGGGTTGTAGCTCAGTGGTAAGAGTTTTTTGCCTGGGATTCACAAGACAGGTCCTGGGTCTAAGCCTCAGTAGCACAAGAAGAAAAATGTAGGATGGAAAGAGAGAAAAGAGATGTGGAAAATGTGATTTTTTTCCCCATGCATTTCTTTTTATTCCAAGAGAAAATTGATTATTTTCTTTCTTCTTCATTGTTGAGGACTACTCTGAAATGTGTGGGATGAAAGCAGGAGACTGGTAGAGCTTGTAGTGAAGACTGAAGATACCCTCCTTCCAGATGAATTTAATGCCATGAGAACATTTTCTTTTTGGTCAGTTGCAGGGCTTGAACTCTGGGCCTGGGTGCTATCCCCTGAGCTCTTCAGCTCAAGGCAAGTGTGCTACCACTTGAGCCACACTGCCACTTCTGGTTTTCTAGTGGTTTATTGGAGATAAGAATCTCACAGATTTTCCTGCCTAGGCTGGCTTTGAACCTCAATCCTCAGATCTCAGCCTCCTGAGTAGGTAGGATTACAGGTATGAGCTACCAGTGCCTGAGTGAGAGAACCACACTTTTTTGCGTTTTCAGCACTCAATCCTACGTATATTACTCAGTACTTTCTTTGTTCATTGTTACATTTTGTAAAGTCTGACAGCACAACCCTATGAAGTTATAGGCCAATTGTGTTTGTAAATATTAACCTATTTGTGGTAGATTTAACAATTCAAAGAACTCCAGATGGTGGGCCCTGATAACAATAAAACTGGAACATGACTACCTCAATACAGAAAGACAATATTACAATTTTTTACCTAGTACCCAAAATTAAATAACCAGAAGAAAATTTCTTCCTTTTAACCCTGTGCATCATGAAAAATTTCCATCCAACATCTGAACTCTTCAGAAACCAAGAGCTGAGATACAGCTTGAGCTCCGTGGAGGATATTCGCTACAACCCCTGGGTTGAGTTTATGTTCCAAAGGAAAGGAATGAGAATAGAGAAAACAAAACTTCAGAGACAGCTGGACATTGGTGCTTCACACTTAGCATCCTAACTTTTCAGGAGGCTGAGATCTGAGGATCCTGGTTTGAACCCAGCCCAAACAGGAAAGTCTGAGAGATGCTTATGTCTAATTAACCACCAAAATGCTGAAAGAAGAGCTGTGGTCCAAATGGTAGAGTGCCAGCCTTTACCAAAAAAAAGCTAAGGGACAGCACTGAGGTCCCGAGCTGAAGACCCAGTACTGGTAACAAAACAAAATAAATAAAAAGCCCTGAGAGAGAAGAGTCAGGAGCCAATGAGCCTTGTGGAGACAGGAATCCATCAGCTGAGGGGTGGGGGCAGGGATGTTCAGGAGCTGGGGCGACGCAGGGTCATTGGGACTCCACAGTTGCAAGGATTAAAATATGGACAGAGTGCAGTAGGAAAGTAGTATTTCGAGAAGGTGTAGATGGGTAAGCCGTGGTTGGTGACATTATAAAAGGAGACAGTGCCAGCCTCATAGTCTAAGAAAACCCCAATGCGGCGAGGGGGCACTGTCATGGAGAGGAGCAGGGAGGCAGAAGAGTCCTCATAGGCTCTGTATTCGTGTTTATGCTGCAAACCAATCACCCAGTACCCGCTCTGTGGCTGATACCTGGAGCAAGTGTTCAGCTTGTGTGCATACGGGCTGAAGGTCGGTTGCCCTGAATTACTACACACGCCCAGGATCCAGGCCGACTTCTTGTACACATCGACCTCCCAATAGTATTTTCCCGAGGAGAAGAGCTGGGAGCCCAGGACACTGCAGTCGTGATGTTCTTCCAGACAGGAAGGCTCTGACAGCTTCGCTCCCACAAACCTCACTTGCCGCCGATTTTTAGATAGGACGAGATTTAAATTAGCTGTGTGTGGGTTGAGAGTCACATCCACTAGAGGAAAAGAAACAACAACCATCCAATGAGGTAAGAATGGGAAGTTGGACGGGTCAGATTTGGACATGTTAGGTTTGTTTTTTGTTTTTGTTTTTTCCAGTCCTCGGGCTCTAACTCTGGGCCTGGGCACTGTCCCTTAGCTCTTCAGCCTGAGACTAATGCTCTACTTCTTGAGCCACAACACCACTTCCGGTTTTCTGGTGATTAGATGGAGATAAGAGTTTCATGGTCTTTCCTGCCCGAGCTGCCTTTGAACCACAATCCTCAGATCTCAGCCTCCTGAGTAGCTAGGATTACAGGCCTGAGCCACTAGTGCCTGGCAGATACAGACACTTTAGATCTGAAGGAATGTATGGGTTTGGGGGATAGGAGCATGCAAAAGGAGGGCATCAGCCATGTTAGCTCAGAGACCATGGTCTCTACTCACCCCAGTAGCTCTGGACATCTGTCAGCTCTGTAATAGGAAAAAGAGTGACACAGGTTAAATGAAACCAGTGGTCTCAGGCTGTGTTCTCTCTGCCCTCACTAGACAAAGGAAAATGGCAAGTAATTCTAGGAAGACGGGACTCAGTCATTTTATCTCCTCTCTTTTTTTTTTTTGCCAGTCCTGGGTCTTGAACTCAGGGCCTGGGCACTGTCCCTGAGCTTTTGCTCAAAGCTAGCACTCTATAACTTGCGGGACAGCACCACTTCTGGCCTTTTCTGTGTATGTGGTACTGAGGAATCGAACCCAGGGCTTTATGCATGCTAGGCAAACACTCTACCACTAAGCCACCTTCCCAGTCCCTCTGTCGCCTCTTAAGCAAGAACTGACACTTCTTTACCTCCCTCCCTCCTCAGCACTCTTGTCTTATACACAAAATACCAGACCTTCCCTATGTGTTCCTCACCATGTCAGCGATTCTACACCCAAACTCTTTCCCCAAATCTTACCTCTAAATACTCGTAGCATCCGTTTCAGATCTGGGGCTCGGAACTTACTTCTCAGCTTGGTGGGGAGAGCCAGAGGCTCCCTCAAGGTCCAGAACTCATTCCTAGAAATGACAAATCCTATGCTAACCCTGCAACATCTGTTTCCCTCACCATGCAGGTCTATCAGTAAACATCAATACTCCCTTCTGAGAAAGGCTCAGATTCTTCTACAAAGGGCCCTGGCACTGGACCAATAAGATTTGGACTAGAAATCAGTGTCTCACCATCGATGTAACTTTCAGTAAGATTTAACCTCTTGTTTGGTTATGTGTGCCAGTACTGGGACTTGGCTTCCTCTCAATGCAGACACTCAACTAATTCCACACCTCTATGTCTGGATTTATGCTGGTTAACTGGAGAGAAGAGTCTCTTAAATTTATCTGTCTGGATTGGCTTTAAACTCAGATCTCAGCCTCCTGAGTAGCTAGAATTACAGGCACTGGTATCTGGCAAGATTTAACCTCTTAAACCCTCTGGTTTAAATGAAACCTCTAGTTTCTTTCCTTGTTTTACTGTTGTTAGTTTTATAAAACAATAATTTTCCTTTCTCTGTGTCCTAGAGAGAGAAAAAAATTAAGAAGAGTAATGGCTGGGAAATCATTTGCTGTCTTTACAAAAGATGTAAGATATGAGCCGAGCGCCAGTGGCTCACACCTATAATCCTAGCCACTCAGGAGGCTGAGATCTGAGGATCTCGGTAAAAGCCAAAGCCAGCCTGGGCAGGAAAGTCTGTGAGATTCTTATCTCCAATAAACCACCAGAAAACCAGAAGTGGTGCTCAAGTGGTAGAGCGTTAGTCGTGAGCTGAAGAGCTGAGAGACAGCACTCAGGCCCAGAGTTCAAGCCCCATAACTGACAAAATTAAAAAAAAAAAAAAAGATGTAAGATACTTAAATGTCACTGCCATACCAGAGGGTCCAGCAGGAGGCGCTGCAGATGTTCAGCCTGATGGGAAAATGCTTGGGCTGATAGGAATGAACTGTTGGGGCTTATGCAGACTCAAAGAAAGGCAGAGGGCTTTAGGTCCTACATCAATCAGAAGAGGGCCTCTATTGGTACCTTACAAGTCACTGTCTCTGGACATCTTCTACCAGTTGGAGAACAGACAGCCCAGCTGAGGAACCAACAGGTCCTGTACTTCCCTGTCCTTCTTTTGTGTCTTCGTCATCCAAATTCTCCTACTGTGAAGGCCAGCCCATTTCTTTTACCTTGGGATCCCCAAATTCTCCTGTCATGAACAATGCCTTACTGTCTCACTGACTACAGGGTAATTCTATGGACAGAGAATTTTTTGTCTACCTTAAGAATTCCCTCATGTTTTTGTATACATACCTTTTCGTGACATCACTCACGTCCTAGAAAGTAAAACGACAGATTAGATAAAGCAGTAATAGATCATGTCATTCTCCCAGGTCTACAGTCTCATGGTATGAATAGGAATACCTATTGAGGCTACCAAATAGATGTAGAATTCAGGGCAAGTATGCACAGTCATGCATGCCTGAAACCCTAGCTCTCTGGAGGCTGAGGTTGGAGGGTTTTAGAACAAGAGTACGTATAGACAGATTCTGTCTTCAAACCAACCAACCAATGAAGAAAACAACAACAAAAATGGAATCAATAACATAAACCCTCAGGGCACAGCAACCCTAACAACCCACAGGAAGATATCAAAAAAAAAAAAAACAATTTTACAACTGTGTGCATGTGGAGGTGTGATGTTACGTACACATTGTGTGTGTTACTTGCCATGCACTGTGTGTGACCCTGGAGAATGATGGTCAAGTCATCATTTTTGCCCTTGAGAAGCTTACAATCTAGCCGGGTTACTGAAGATACAAGTTCAAAGGCTGGAAATATGTTTGGCTCTCAAAACTCAACTATTGTAATGATCTATCCATTTTAGCTGACTTCAAACATTTCCTGGACTTCAACAAGCACATGTGGATGATCCCCAGATCTGTTCCCCCATGATGCACTGGACTATTAATAGACAGTCCAGCAAATGGACACAAGTGCTTCAAACTAATATTTAAGAGAAAATGTACCAGATATACAATGCTTATCTGCTACTCACTTTTTATTATTCAACTGCCTATCTTATTTCAGTAAAACTGACCATTGCTTTCTATTTGGCTCCCCAATTTCAACTCTATACATATCAATGATCTGAAGACAAGGCCAGTTGTTTGAGGCATATAACACAGGAATAACTATTTTCTCTGTATTGGGGCTACTTTGCATTGTGGTTCACACAATTCAAACTGGCTTGAACATAGAAAGCAGAATAAGCATTGGGTAGTCAGTACATCAAACAATGTCTTGGCTAGCAAATTCAGCAACACCATAACAAAGAAGGAAGAATGTTCGTGAGGAGAGAATTCTAGAAAACTATTAGGTAACACTCAATTTTAAAGGTCTATTGGATAGTTATGCTAATGGGCCCAAGATCACCTGTATTAGCACCATAGATTGATGATTCCATTATAATTAAAGAAATTTTTTTATAGAGTTTAAGGAGTTTGTAGAACAGCTAGAATGAAGGAATGAAAGAAAAAGTATTAGAGTAACCTAACACCAAAAATGAGTACAAAAGACAAATAAAGAAGTGAATAAGGAAAAGCCCTAATAGGTTGAAAGTGACTAGCTATGTTAATATCAGCTCTAAGAATAAAGAGATACTCTTTTCTAACTGTATTTTTTTTTGTCTTTTCTTTTTTGGTACTGGGGATCGAACCCAGGACATTGCACTTGCTAGGCAAGCGCTTTACCACTGAGCTACATCCCAGCCCAATAAAGAGATACTCATTCCACTAGTAAAAGAAGAGCAAGAAAGGAAAGTACAGTCTGAAGGTTCCAAAAGTCAAAGGTATACCATGCCCTAATTTCAGAGCTGTACTGTTCATTTTATGTAGAAAACAAAAGTTCAAACTGCAACCTCAATTCAAGTATCCGTTTCCATTCGAGTTCCTCCATCAAATCTCTCTCAACATCATACCTTGCATCCTTGCTCCAAACTCTATCCTCCAAAGATACATTCGAATAGTTATGCAACATGCAAGCTAATTCTATCCCCAGAGATAAGAGAGGAGAAAGCCAAGAAAGGCCAGTAACTACTCAGTCTCTAACTTGAGTTTTGGCACTTGTTTCCCGGTTATTAAACTGTGCAAAAGCACCTGACAATATGTCCAGAACAGCTAGGGAGACTAAAGGTGCCTATTGCTCAGTGGTTCTTGGCTGAGGTAGGGTTAGAGATGCTCTTCCTGGGGACACCTGATGTCTTGAAGGGTTTGGAGTTGTCATACTTGCTGAGATACAGTAGGCAGAGGCCAGGAATGCTGCTACATACCCTGGAGAAGAATCTCTCACAGCAAAGAATTATCTAGACCAAAAAGTTAATAGTGTGGAGACTAGGAAAGCCTCCTGTGAGCATCATGAGATACAGGATCTTCTTCAGAGTGATCAAATCAATTCTTTGACCACCCTTTATAGAAAGTAACAGAAATGGGGCCTTTCCTTAGCATTTATACTCTAAATCTTATGCTTTGTTTATGATCTCTTCTCAGTTCAGTAGGCAAGAGACACTACAAAGGATTTCTTTTTTCCTACTTGTCCGACTCCCAGATTCCAGGCTTCTCCACAAGTCTCACCTGTAGCAGATCTACTGTGGATCCCTGGCATCGCCGCTCCAGGTCTGAGATGAGCTCCCTCAGGGACTGGTTCTGGTGGATCAGCTCACCCTCTGCTTTCTCCATAATGCCCAACCCTTTCCTCTCTTCCTCCTCCAGCTTCTTCAGTTCCTGCTGCTCCTCTCTGTCCAGAATGTTCCGCAGCTTATTAAATTCTTTCTGGATTCTATGTCTCTCAGGCTCCATCTGACTCTGTAGTATCAGGGAAGAAAAAGAGGCTGCTGTCTGTTGGGTTAAGGGGTCCTCGCTGGGGGTCTGAGAGGTCAGCCTCACTGGGAGAGGCTAGTGGGAACAGGTTCCTATTCATTTACCCTGGCCATTAACCACAGGCTGCCTTTATCAAAGCCTTATAAATATGGACTGTGATTCCTTCCTTCCTAGATGAGCTTTGGATTCCAGTAAGTCTCTGTAATCTCTCAGACTTCTGTATTAGCCTCTCCTTCCTCTTTGACTACTCAGATAGGATGTATTAGCTCAAGATCAAGCTGTCATTTCCAGGAGACCAGAGATTGAAACTGCAAAATGAGCCCCAGAATTGTAAAGCAGAGGCTACCTCTATCCACAATGTCTTTCTTATGTGCTTGTTTCCAAAGCCTGGCTTTGCTTTTAATGTTCACCATTTACCCAATCCTATGTCCCTTGCACAAGGCAATCGATACTCTGGTTCGAAAAGAATGTGATGAAGAAGCAGGCCAAAGAAAATTCTTATATTTATAGATCAGGACTTCTTTGTCCTGGGCTCCCATGAGCTGCCCTAAACCTGTCCCAGGACATCCTGGACACCCTTCAGAGGAATCCTTCTTGCCTTCCAAGATGTTCTATTCTCTCTTATCACAGCTATTAGCCTCTCAGCTTCTTGCTGCTCTTTTCTCAGCTTCTTCAGAGACTCCTGGAACATTTCCTGGAAGAAACACAGCAGGATAAGCAGGATCAAACTTTAAATTGCCTCAGGCCTAGACTGGAATGACCTAAACAGAGTCTGACTTCAGGAAAAGACTGTCCTGTGTCTTGAAAAATTATTAAGGCCAAACAACCCTTTACACATACAAGACGTAAACCAACAAGAACAGGCAACAAGAACAGTTCTCTTTCTCCTGGACCACAAACCACTTCATTCTTTTTACCCTCAGTGCCACTGTGTCTCCCACACCCAACTCAACAGCCTCTCCCTTCCATCTGCAGAAAATTCCACTCAATCCTGTGCATTAAATAAAGAGATAATGTTTCTATTCTTGACAGGGGAAATTTTCTAGGTTCATCCTCTAGGTAAACGGAAGGAGTACAAGATATAAGTACCATGGAAAGTTAAAAAAATCCTCTACCACAGCTGGGTGCTGGTGGCTCATACCTGTAATCCTAGTTATTCAGTAGCTGAGATCTGAGGATCATGGTTTTAAGCCAGCCTGGGCAGAAAATGCCATGAGACTCCAATTTCAATTAACCACCGAAAAGCTAGACTATTAAAGGTAGACTGTTTTTTAGCTCAAGTGGTAGAGCTCTAGCCTTGAGCCAAAAAGCTGAAGGACAGTGCTCAGGCCCTAGGTTCAAGTCCCAGTATCAGCATGCACACACACACGTGCGCGTGCACACACACACACGTGCGCGTGCACACACACACACACATACACACATGGGCACAGACACAAAATCTCCTACCAAGGTGCATTGTTTCCCGCTGTCCTCCTTTCATCCTGGGTCCCCACCTGGTACTCCTGGGCAACCTCCTCCATGAGGAATGTGTGGTGACCACGGTGCTCCTGAGATCGCTCACAAAGCCAGCAAATCAACTCCCCGTCCTCCTTACAGAAGAGCTGGAGTTTCTCACCATGCTGTGCACAAAGAATGACCTTTGCCTGCTTCCCTGGGCCCAACACTACCTCCCTGAGCCTCTTTACTATGTTGGCCAGATGCCGATTAGGCCGGAGGCTCCCAGGCTGGTAGCTGGCCTTGCACACAGGACAGCTGCTCTTCTCTTCTCGGTGGCGCACTGATTCTTCACTGTTCCTTGTGATGCAGGCTTTGCAGAAGCTGTGGCCACAGTCGATGCTCAGGGGTTCTGTGAGTAGTTCCAGGCAGATGGGGCAAGTCACCTCCTCTTGGATGTCCACCAGAACTGCTGAACTCATTGCAGCTACTTTCCTGGCTCAGGCCTGCCCAGCTTGAATTCTAAGATAGTTCTTGCTTATAGAATTCTAGATAGAAGAGCAAACAAAACCAGGCTCAGTCTAAGAAAGGAGGGAAAATAAAGGAATTCATATTATACCTTCTTTACCACAATCATATGAGGTATCATATTAGTAGAGATACATATGTTAAAGCCAGGTGATGACTCAGGTCTATAACCCCCTAGCTACTCAGGAGGCTGAGATCAGAGGATCATGGTTCTATGTCAGCATGGATAGTAAAGTCCATGAAACTCCTGTTTCAACGAAAATCCAGAAGTGGAGCTGTGGCTCAAGTGGTATAGTGAGAGCCTTAAACCAAAAAGCTAATGGGCAGGGTGCCGGTAGCTCACGCCTGTAGTCCTAGCTACTCAGGAGCCTGAGATCTGAGGATCTCGGTTCAAAGCCAGCCCGGGCAGGAAAGTCATGAGACTCTTATCTCCAATAAACCACTAGAAAACAGGAAGTGGTGCTGTGGCTCAAGCAGTAGAGCGCTCACCATGAGTTGAAGAGCGCAGGGACAGTGCCCAGGCCCAGAGTTCAAGCCCCGCACCGACTAAATAAATAAATAAATGTTAACAGATAGGGCCCAGGCCCTAAATTCAAGCCTCAGCACTGGCATAAAAAAAAAACAAAAATGAAAACCACATTAACGACATTAAAGCACATTCCTTTATCAAAAAGACTTCGCTGTCTAGACTCTAAAATGTAGCTCTTCCAGGACTATTCCCTGCATACTCATCCATTTTGTTTTTTCTTCTTATCCCTATCTTTTAAAAATAATGTACACGGGACTGTGTGTGTGTGTATACTAGAGCTTGAACTCAGTCTTACACTCTTATTTGGCTTCTTTGCTCAGGGTGGGTGGCACTCTAGTGCTTAAGCCACAGTTCTACTTCCAGCTTTTTGCTGGTTAACTGGTGATAAGAATCTAAAACAGAGTGGCTTTAAATCAATCTCAGCCTCCTGAGTCACAACTGGTTATGAAAATCTTAGTTGCAAAAAATATTTCCTCCATTTCCTATTTCTATTTCTTGGGGCTTTCTTGGGAAGGTGGGGAATGAAAGGACTCAAGGTGGAACAGAAGGTGGATGCTTCTTCATAATCAATGACATCTTTGATCCTAGAGCCAAAGATGGAGGAGTTATGGCAAATAGGTGAAAAAGCTCAGGAGAGCTCAAGAGAAAGGGGCACCACTGACCTGTGCACCAGGCACATAACCGTGAACCAAAAACTTATCTCTGTTCTTCTGGAACATAACATTTCATTGGGGAAGAGTGAGAGACAATTAAAACTATGTTGGCCATGAGCTAGTGGCTCATATCTGTCATCCTAGCTACTCAGGAGGCTGAGATCTGAGGATCACTGAAGCCAGCCTAGGTAGGAAAGTCCATGAGACTCTCATTTCTGATTAACCACTAAAAAGCTGGAAGTGGAGCTGTGGGCTCAAAATGGTAGGGTACTAGCTGTAAGCACAAAAGTTCAGGGACAGTGCTCAGGCACTGAGTTCAAGCCCTAGGACCAGTACAGAAACAAGCAAACAAACCTGTCTTTCTTCTAATTTTTTTAAAGAAAGTTCTCAAGTGTTCAATTGTATTAACATGGTTTGAGATCATACTGAGAATATTCTTTTGACTTTGTATCATTTTCACTGGACACCATTTGCTCTGCTTACGTAGATGGATAGATGGAGTCGGGTTTGAAGATGCACTGGCCCTAGTTCCAAGCATGACCTTGTACTGGACAGGCCCCAGGATGGCTGGAAGCTGAATTCCATACGTGGATACAAAATGGCCAGTGCAGGCATAAGATTATAGGGACCTTCTCTCCCAGCTTGCAACTCTGACAGGTTAACTGCTTTCAGACCCAAACCACCAGAAGCTGAGATCTGAGGATTAAGGCTCAAAGCCCACCTAGATAGAAAAGTCTCTCCAATCTCCAATTATCCACAGAAAAGTCAGAAGTGGAGCTGCAGTTCACAAAAAGCTCAGGGAGAGCACCCAAGTAAGCCCTAGCACCAGCACACGCACGCACGCACGCACACACACACACACACACTCACACACAGTAACACTCATATCACAATAAACAGCTTGCAAAAGTGTCCCGGAGTAGGATGGAAAGGTTACAGTATATAAGCAGAGCTGAGCAGGACTACAGAGGTGAAGCTGCTAATTTAGTGTGGGAGAAATCAGAGACTAAGTGCTGCCACCTAGTGTTTTGTGGGTGTCCATTCTGCTTTGCTTAGCAACCATAATGTTCCTATTAAACATGTATTGAAAACCTTTAGAAACTGGGGAAAAATGTAATTATTTTGGATGTAATAGCCTGATAATTCCTTATATCAACACTATGAGTATGTCCTAGTCCCCATTTCAGAGTTGAGTACGCTGAGGTTAAGCATCCAGTCTGATTGGTTGATTAGCTGTTTTAATGTAAACATTGAAGCTGCAGAGCTGGAGGCTTTTGCTATTCTTTTGTATCCTTCTTCATCTCAAAAGATGTAGAATAAAACTGTCGACAAATTAAACATTTAACCAAAGTAAACACAGCATCTACCAGATGTAATGAGTAATTAAAGTAGAAACATGAGCTGGTAGGTGACGCCCGTAATCCTAGCTCCTCAGGAGGTTGAGATCTGAGGATCACAGTTTGAAGCCAGCCTGGGCAGGAAAATCTGTGCAACTCTTATCTCCAATAAACTACTCAGAAAAAGCAGGAAGTGGTGCTGTGGCCGTAGTGGTAGAGTGCTAGTGGTTGAGCACACAGAGACAGGGACAGTGCCCAGGCCCTGAGTTCAAGCCCCAAAGACTGACCGAGAGAGAGAGACAGACAGACAGACAGACAGACAGAAAGAGGGCACAACATATATGGGAACACATATAGAGCCATATGCATATATACATTATCAAACTGACTAAAGTGTGGCGTGCGCAGGGGTAGATTCCCAGGGTGTAACTCTTCTAATCAACTGACAGGTTAGAACAAAATGATTACCAGGAAGCTGAAACTTGCTTTATGTAAAGAGGATTGGGTTTAAGGTGGATTAACAGAGAGTGAAATGGTGGGCAAATATAGTCTCTAGTCTATGTACATATGTCAAAACAGAACTAGGTAACTTGGTGGGGGGATTTCAATAGATGGGGGGAGAAGGGAGGGTTGACATAGATCAAGACACCTTGGAGGCCAGGAACTAGTAGCTTCTGCTTGTAATGCTACCTACTCAGGAGGGTGAGCTCAGAAAAGCAGTTTAAAGAACAACTAAAAAAAAGTCTGTGAGACTCTTCTCTCCAATTATCCAGTAAAAAGCTGGTTCAAGAGGTAGAGTGCTAGACTTGAGCAAAAAAGCCAAATGAGAGTATGAGGCCCTAAATTCTGGCACAGAAGAAGGAAGAGGAGAAGGAGAAAGGGGAGGGGGAGGAGGAGGATGCATTGTATTCATTAACATGTTGAATTGAAATCCTTTTGCACACTATTTTTTTTTTTTTTTGGTCGGCCGTGGGGCTTGAACTCTGGGCCTGGGCACTGTCCCTCAGCTCTTCAGCTCAAGGCGAGCGCTCTACCACTTGAGCTACAGCGCCACTTCCAGTTTTCT